CAGGACCATGATGTGAATTTACTAAATCTAACTGTTTCTATTTGCTAAATACTTTAAATAACTTAATTTCTCTTTTTAACTCTTTAGACATTTGATCGACTACGAGCTATGGGTGTTTCGCAAACTCGAAGTGCTTACAGCCTAACAATAAGTGCTATATCCGATAATCTAGTACCTGAAGTCAGAAAAATGGTTAGTCAGGGCCATGAAATTAGAGTGGTATTTGATAATTTTGATTTCAAAGTATTGGCGAATATCATGTTAAGCAACCATCAAAACTCAGATTATCATTGGATCGCACAGTATATCACTTTTGATCGCGTATCATCAAAAGATCTTGACGACACAAAACCGATTGTCGACGATTTGACCAAACTTGACAACGTCAATTATCTATTAAATGAAACCGAATTAAAGAGTATGCGTGCAGAAATGGTAATCATTGTTGGAAGAGTACTTGTCGAATTCTTTGAATCTCTACGTTGTCTGAAAGTTGTCACTCAAGAACACATCGGTCACAAGTATTCTAAGGAAATGGAAAAGGCGTCAACGATCATCAATCTCCCAGTCGTGCCATTCAACCAAATCAAACACGCTGAAGTTTGCGACTATTTGGACTGGTTAGAAGAATTTCTACTCAAAGTATACGCCCCGGACGGAGTTAATGTTACCAAACTTCCGCCAACTGAGAAGCTTAAACTTATGGAGAAAGTTTTTGCAGGTATAATTTCCTTTCACCAAATAATACCGTTATGTACTGTTTCCACACTATGCCCAACAGCAGAGATGAAATATCTAACATAAGATTATGCTTGATCTGATTTCTTACATTTCACACGCCATCTCTGAGATATGAGTACTTGACAATATGTGTCGATACTTTCTAAAGTGATATAATTTAACCAAGCTGGCTGGCTGGCTGGCTGAGGAATACAGGGTCTTCTCGTCCGCGTAAAAATGATATAAAATTATAGCATGCATATACACTAAATTTCTTCATGTTTTCATTTCAGGAAAGCAATTTCCTTTGGCTGGTGACTTGTTAGGCAGGGAACGTGTCACGGGCGCACGCAAGGCAAGAGCAGGTTGTGACAGCCCTTGCAACCGATTTGAAAATATTGTTGAGGAACCAGCGACATGGCATGCCAAACAAGCTTTTCTCGGGGTAAGTCAAACTTACTAAATTAATTAATTTACTATTCCGGCAAGAAATTAACTTTTCGGTGGTTGCAAATTTCACTCACAACCTGTTAATAGGACATGCAATCACAGATGATAGATTGTACCAGATGGCGTGATAGCCTCGCGAAAATCGCGGACACGAAAATCATAGGGATAGATACACAGTGAGACATCTGGGCACAGATGATAGATTATACCAGATGTCTCACTCAGCCAAAATTGTGTCCGCGATTTTTTATGAGCACGCGTTGGCCGCCATTTTGGCAGTAAGTGTAATCCACGCCATGAAACGTGAGCAATCACGCATTTTGGCAGTAAGCGCCATTTTGGAGCCTCGCGAAAATCGCGGATACGAAAATCATAGGGATAGATACACAGTGAGACATCTGGTATGATCTATAATCTATGATGCAATGCACAAACCTTGTCCCGGGCGAGGATATTAATTCCGCACGGCTGTTTAGCCCCAGGGAAAGGAAAGCATTAGCGAAGTCTGAATTTCAGTGTTATTTATTTATTAATTACCCTTTTTATTATATTAAAATTTTTAAATAAAGAGGAAAGCAAAGTTACTTGCATGCGATAATTTGAAATCATTTTATTTCAAACTCAAAGTTTATCGATAAAAGGCAGTTCACTTTTAAGAACATTTTAAGACGTTTTAATTAAATTGAAGCTTATACTGTAATATTACGTACAATAACTTATAATAACATTGATAATCGTGTAATTAAAAGTGATATTTTGGGGGGATGTTTTCAAACTAAAAATTATTCTTAATAAAATTATCGTGTTACCTGACCACTACCTTAATGTTCGGAAAATATAATGGTTTTGTCAGCAAGGCGAGTGTTTGTGCATGCACGTATTTCGTTCGTATTTTAGCTTGTGCATACACGTTTATTGATTAAGTTCATTGATTAATTTTATTTACATACAGTACGTATGGGAACTTTTGTACAACAAGAAATCAAGCAGAGACATAGGGACATTATATCACTTTCGCCAACTGTTCCACCTGGTCAATGTTCCACATAAAGTAAAGAAGAACTACCAAAGTGCTGAAGCATTATTTTTGTCAACTACTAAAGCATATATTTGTTCAGCGTTTATGACATGGGCGGGTTTCAAGTCTCTCAATGACATATCTCCACAGAACATAAAATTACCAAGTCCAGATTCGGCTAAGGAGAAAAAGAAAGAATATTTAGAAGAAGTCGTCGGGAAATTTGTTGATGAGTATGTAATGGTTGAGTTAGATGCAGAAAAAGTAATCAGGAAAGGCAAGTATATAATTTATTGTTGCCTTATATTACGCGATCGGATTCAATACGATTATCTCTTTTCTTTGTCTTTGCATACGAGAATAGCATGCACTATACGAAATGCATGCATGCAGGGTATAAGTTACAGTTGACTATTTGAGTAATGGTATGATTTTTTGTATAGAAAACGTTACACGTCAGCGTAATTTTACAGCAAACTTGGAAATTCCAGAACAAGATCAAGAAGAATTGAACACAGGTATTTATCAAATCTTAAACTATATATATGTTATGTCGGTAACTGAAAGAAAGAAATGAATGTCAACTGATACTTTTCTCCAACTCCTGCCTGTAGTTATCAACAAATCGAAATACTATATAGTTTATAAATACCTACTATACACATTGGCCTAATGTTTGAGATTATTGTCAGACTGCCTAGTCAATCATATTAGATATATATATATAACAACATTCATTAAAACTGTCGGTTAATCGCAATTTGTTTTGCCGTCTCCAAGGTGATATAGTAAAGATGTACGTAGGAGGATTGACGTTACTGGTGGCCATCGGCAAAATTGCAGACAGACGCTTGATTCCTTCCACTCAAGTTATACCAACACACATCCCACTTAAGTTTGTAAGTATCGAGTATGTTGTACCTGGCTTAGAGAATAAAGCATCGCCTCCACTACAAGTACGTCAGCTTCGAGTATGGCCTGAAGCACTAATAATAAAACACAAACAAGATCTAGCATCTCATGCCAATATCAGCCAATCGTCCGCCGAAATTTCTGCTGCAACAGCTGAATCGCATAACGCCAATTGCAAGCTCCCATCCCCTGTTTCTGAAATTCCTTCAACTGCGAAGGAAGATGGAATATTTAACTATGGGTTGCACGTTATCCAACTTGGAACACTTTTAATGCAATTAAATGACACCGAAAAGGAAGGCGATGGAGAAAGATCATTAAGAAATTGGAAATTGTTAATGCTGTATTTTAGGTCGCGATCGCGTTCTATGAAGTATGCTTACGAAATTATGAGATTCATTTCGTTTACGAAAGCTCTGTACTCAGAGAAAGTCGCAAGCAGAGTTATCAATGGTCAATTTGTCAATTTGAAAGGTGGGGCCGGAAGGAATGTCGCAAATGATCTAAAGCAAGAGCACATTGTCCAATGCAACAAACGTATATTGAAAGGACTTTGTGGCAACAAAACACTTAAAGCTATACAAACAGGATCTTCGGCAGCTTTTGGATTACAGGTAACTGTGGATAATTTCGACACAGTTAGTGGCATTCACAAAGAATCAACAGCACATACTCATGCCAACAGACAAGATGATGAGAAAGAAATGATAAAGAATTTATCCACGTTACAACCTTTTTGCCACAAAGAAGGAAGGTGTCACAGTGCATTTCAAAAGATTTCAAAAAGCCCACTTGATAAGCTTAACATCGTGGCATTCACTGAATGGTTAAATTACCACAAAAAACGATTATCAACGAACAGACATTCTGAACTGGTGATAAATGGTGAGGAGCAAGAAAGTTCCGAAGACGAAAACACGGATGTCTCTGACGTTGAGAGTGAGGACCTGTGAAAAAAGTAAGAGGGCAATATTTTTCATCAATATACATTACAACATATATACGAAGACCCTAGCTTTTCGGTAGTTGCATGTTTTAAGTTTACAAGAAAACACTATAATATCTAACGGATTTATCTCGCCTAGCTAATGGCATTAAACATATTGAAAGCGGAAACATTACCTGCATTGTATGTTAATTGCTGTACGTCATCACTACCATGAATTTATAATGTTTTTTCTTGTTGAAGTTGTTTTAATTTTAATCAGCACGACAAACGATTGTTAACGAACAGACATTCTGACATGGCGATAAATGATGAGAAGGAAGAAAGTTCCGAAGAAGAAAACACGGATGTCTCTGCATGACGTTGAGAGTGAAGACCTGTGAAAAAAGTAAAATGGCAATGTTTTACAACATTACAACATACATACATGATGAAGACCATGGAAACTTAAAACAAATACCGAAAAGCTAGGAAAACACTTTATATAATAACTACAGTGAAACACGCAATTTGATTGGTCAATAGCCGTGCAGGATCAGGCTATCCTGCACGAGGAATTAAAATGCCTTCGCGGGATTTTAGCGGGATTCTCAAAATGTCATTGTTTCACTGTAGTTATTTTATAAAACAATTACCAAATGGTTTTCCAAGCAGGATAGCGTGATCCATGCACTACGGATGTTGCTCGACTTAACGCTTTCCGAAAGTCTCGCGACATCCCTCTTGCATGGGTCACGCAATCCTGCACGGAAAACCATTCGGTATTCCTTTAATCATATATAGCGGGTTCCTATCGTCTAACTATATTGTCACCAAACATCTAGAAAATTAACCTTTTTCGTCATCACCACCATATGACCATGAATTTATAATGTAGGTGTATTTTCTTGTTGAAGTTATTATTTTACTTGCTTGAATGCTTTCAATCAGTCCATTGGTACCGTTGAGAGATGTTTATATATCATCTGCATATACCTCTTCGATCAAACTGAAAATAACCTCAGCATGTTCTTTGCAAAACACCGGTAAATGTTGTTCGATTGCTTCAACACTGTCCATATATTCACAATGTTTCACACTTTCATTAATTAGGTCAATACTGAATCCTGTTGAAAAGCTTACACTTCCAACACATGACCTGCTACTTCCCAAGGACTCTCGATAGCGAAACAACCTTTCGCGAAGAACATTTTTAGCATTGTTAGACAACTCCCTAACTGCTTTAAGTGTTGGATGGCTTGACGATTCCACTTCATCGTGTTTGACGTCCGCAACAGTTTTACTGCTTTCACAATCTGTGCAAGTACAAATAGACTTGTGAAAATCACAGCAAAGATGCAAAGGATTATGTTTATGTTCGGATTTGTGACCAAAGTAATTTAACACAATTTCGCGTTTACAGCGATCCATGCATGTTACGAGTTGAATCATGTCATTTTGTACACCATGCGGATGCTTGCGAATATTATAAGAATCGTAAAAGGTAAGAGCTTCAGCATACTGCCCATCTCGTCCAGCACGGCCCACCTCCTGAAAGTATTCCTCCATTGTGTTTGGAAGTCCTACATGAACTACTTTTCTTATATTAGGGAGGTCAATACCCATGCCAAAAGCAATCGTCGCAAATATTACTCGTGTTGGTGACACTTGTGACGTCAAGGCTTTTATTAAATTTTCCTTCTCGCTGCTAGGATAATGAGCATGATATTGGGCGAATAATCGATTTGATGCTTTTTGTTCTGCTCCCACCGGAAAGTACTGCTGAGCTCCCATTTTGTTGGCAAATATGAGGAAACTTTGTCCACATTCCTCCAGAGAGCGAAAATAAAATAAGGTCATGGGCATGTTGATTTTTCTCGTACACAACTCATTCAGAAAAGGTTGCAAAATTTCACAAAGTTTATCATATCCAGTTGCAGCACATTTGAAACTTGCGAGGTAAATATTCGGACGGTCCGGAGTCGCACTCACAAGGACTGGATTTCGTAAACAGACAGATTCTTGTATGAGCCTGCATGTTTTCTTAGTGGCAGTAGCTGTAAGCGCCACAAAGGGTACCATGGGAAAAAAGCTGGTCAACACACTTAACTGTCCATATGCTGGTCTAAAGGTCGCCCTGTAAAGAAAGTAAATTATGAACATTAAGCTATATCACAACGACAACGACAATGACAAGTGTATTGTGGCCAACAAACGTAATTTATTATAGATCATATTACGACAATGGGACAATAGGGCCATTTATACGAGCGAAAAGAGGCGATCTAATAAGTTGCAAATGACTCATATAAACAGTCACTGCTTCACGTCAGCCCAGTTCTATCTATCTATTCACAATGTAACCAGTCACTGAAAAGCCCTGATAAGGAGTGTGCTGTGAAATATCTGTATAACTTGTTCACAAGCAGCTGCTAAAATAATCGATATGCCCAGTGTTGAAAAAACCCTGCCTACATAAGGGCCTAAATGTAAAGGTTAAGGGTCTAAATACAGTAAGCTGCAGTTTATTGCCAATTGACTGTTTAACATACAAATCATTTGCAGTTTTTAAATCTTTTACTTAATGCCCCTAACTCTTGATCCTCTTCTATTGTTTTTCCCAATTGTAGCAGGATTGTGTTGGCCCAGTTAGAAATTGCATCCTACTAATACCATTAAATTTACATTAACATCAAATGCTAGTTTTTTTACTGCATTCACATATACTGTATATACATGTACAGGCAGTGATTATAAAATAGTTCATTCAATAGCTCAAAAGCAATTAATTAAAGAGAAAAAGAAAAGCGTCAGTTAAACCAAAATATGATTTGCAGTATGTGAATATTCAGGGGTGGGAAAGAGATTTTATTTTCTGGGACCACAAAAGAACATAATTTTTTTTTATCAACAATCACACCAGTGATAAAACTAAAACTACAATTTGACTGCTGAAATTGTGCATAATTAGTGCTGCAAGTTGGAAGAGTAATCCTGTTGACCACACATGTGGGCTCATGTATTGTTACTTTTCGATCTCTTGTAATTCATTGGTTGTTATCAGAATAGTAATATTCTTTTTAGGAAAAACACACCTTTATTGGCAACTTTCCTGTCATTGTTACATGAAAATATCATCATATCGACAGCAGTAAACAAATATTTAATAGCAATAGCAGGTTTTTACTATTTCCTAGAGCTTAAAAATATTTTTTCTGGAAATCTTTTCTGTATAAATGTATTTTTTATAAAGCTTTTGAATAACTAGAGGACATGCAGAAATACAGAAACTGATATATTCAGTAAATTTGTATTCCATGTTTTGCACTAATTTGAACAAGTCTAAAGCATTAAAAATTAATCATGCCCTTATATCATTTTCTCTGCATACTCACCGCTTTCAGATATCTCATGACAAGAGACTATTATATGAGATAGGCAGAGTTATTAATTATGCAGAGTATAAGGTACTATATTCTCTCATATGGCAAATGTTAAAAAATAATTAGTTTCCACACATACCACTCAGAAACAAGATGTGCTTCATCTATAACAATACATTTAACTCTTTTTTGAAATTCTTTCGATTGGAATTCTTTCTGAATGCCTCGGTTATTTACTACAACCTATGACATATTAAATTGCACATTAAAATGGTATCCATGCATGAGCTTCTCCTTGAAGTATCAAATAATATTAGATAATGATTGAAATAATATTTATGCTGTTAAATTCCAGACAATAGTAGTGTTGTTTTGGGCAAACAGATGTAAGAGCATTTACTTTCCTCTCGTATGGGCACTTGGATTTATACAAGTTATGTCACAAGATATTTAAAGAACAATATTTTATTATAATATATTTGTGTGATACTGTATGATATACCATTGAATTTTAATTGAGAAACATTTGTTGAGCTTGTAAAAAGAATTGCTATTTTGATTTTTGGGGTTTACATTTTTTAGATTTTTGATCAATCATTGTTTATACTAACAATGATTTAAAGTTATTTCATAAATTAAAATTTTTTTAATATTACAATACCTCTGGATGACAAAATATCAACCGATTTTCCACCAGTTTTTGCCTTCCCTTGATATCTAATTCAAAACATATAATTTAGTAAAAAATAGTTGTTTACATGTAACAAACAAATTTATGCTATTTACAGCATAACTTTCCGAAAATCATGTGTTTATAAAATAATGCACTAGTCAATGTAGAGCCCCATACCCCCTGACCCGGAAAATGGAAGGCAAAGCTGGGACAACCACACATTCACTGTTTTTTGTTCCCTAAAAGGAGGATAATATGCTTGTTTTTGCTGCTTCACCCAATCGTAAAGACGCTTTCAGTTTGAAAAGTTCTCTACAAACAGTTAAGGACAATATTGCTGCCGAAAGTATTAGCCTGTTCTTTTTGTGGCTTTTATTCATAATTTATTATAAAATGTAACTGACATTGCTGTTTTATAAATATACTAGGCCTGATATTATAGTTTTGGTATAGCTCAAAAGGTTTCACTACAGTCTCTTTCCTCTCAGATGAAACAGACTGTAGTGACAACCTTTTGAGGTAAACCAAAACTATACTATTTGCTCTAGACCTAATATTAATTAATATACAAAAGAATAAATATATGTTAAGGTCATTAGGTCATGTAATTTAAAGTTTATGTTTGTGAGTTCATGGCAATCAGGTATACTGTAATATAAGTCATGTTTTCGCTCATTCATTTATTATAAGTAATAATAATAATAATATTTAATATTTATATTGCGCAAATTAACATGTTATAGTATATGATCAAATGCGCATCACAAAACATAATTACACTAAAATTATTCTATGCTGAATGGTTACTAACTAAAAATATAAAGAAGATTATATAGATTATATGTTACATGAAGTATTTACATTAAAGGCTTCTTCAAAATAATAAGTCTTAACTAATTTCTTGAAAATACTAAAGTTATGCAGATTTCTAATATACATAGGTAATTCATTCCAGATTTTTGGAGCGGAGGTTACAAATGCTCTGTCACCGAGTGTTTTCTTTGTTTTTGTAATGTAGTCTTCAAGCAGTGTGCCTTCGTTAGATCTTAGACTATAGCACGATGTCTTTCTTACTTTTAAAAGATCGACAAGATAGAGAGGTGCATACTGATGGATACATTTAAAAGCAAGCATGGCAATTTTGAACTTGATCCTTAATCGAACGGGAAGCCAGTGTAGTTTGATGAGAGTCGGAGTGATGTGATCATGTTTAGGGATAGAACAGATAAGACGTGCTGCTGTATTTTGCAGCCGTTGTAGTTTAGACAGATGTACATCTGTGACACCAAATAGAAGACTGTTACAGTAGTCTATCCTTGACATTATTAGTGCTAAAAATAGCATAATAATAGCATGGGGCTCAGGTCAATTAGCGATTAAACGTACCCGAAAGCGGTTCAGTGTGGGCCTTGGGACTTTTATTAAACCTCTCGAGGCTTGAGGGACATTTCATCGCTAATTGACTGTAATGCCATGCTTATATCGATTTGTAATACCGGTATCATAGCTACTGAGAACTTATTCAATTGAATAGGTTGAAATGAAAAGGCGTGTTTGCTTTTTTATATTAATGACTACTGGGATGTTCATTAATGAGGTTACGGTTGATTATTCATGTCTGTTAAATATTTAAATGACCATTAATATAGGAGGTTATGGCTAAAGATGAGGGACAAATAGTATAAACTAATCATCCTGTGGGACGATATTTTACTATTTTAGCAATGAGGTAAATTAGTCATTAATTAATCATCCATGGTAAAACAAAGGTTACTTGAGGTAACCATGATAATATTTAAACTACTAGAGTAGCGAGCGAAAACATGTGAAGTATTAATTATAAATGTTCTCCATAATATTGTGATGCACATACAATTAAATTGATACAATACATATCACCATAAGCTCTATTGGGAATTTCATAAAGATATATGCCTGCCAGAAAATGCAAAAAGGCAAGGGTCTATACATATATTATGTATTATATAAAAATAACAAAATGAAGTATTTTATAAATTATACTTATACACACCTTTCATTTCTTGATCATCATGGCGTAAAACAACTGCCTCAACACCCATGTCTATTTTTAGCTTTTCTATCTGATCGCCCATCAGTGCGTTTAAAGGGGATATAACAATTACAACTGATTCTGGCCACACGGCAGAAATATTTCTTCTTTTCGAATTAACATAGTCGAACATATAAGGCAAAAGATGGTATATTAAAGATTTCCCAAACCCAGTTGGTAATACGGCAATAACATCTCTTCCATTTACTACTTGACAAACAGCTTCTTTCTGCTCTTCCTTTAATTTAATGTGAGTGTTATTCGTTTTTGTAAGTGCAAAATTTATTGCTTCTTGTAGTATTCGTTCCTCTATAGTTGCATTCATTGCGGTCGCCATGTTTTTAGGGAGTAATACATATGCTGTGCGACCAAGCCTCTGCGTCGGAATTCCGCTGAAGCTCAACAGCCTGACCCAGGGCCACTGTGAGGGCCGCCCGAGCTTGGGCCTGGGGACGAGGATGAGGCTATTTCAGATACGGTAGAGCACCTAGTCCCCAGGCCTTTACCGGCGCGACCGCGAAATTCAATATGGCGCCAAGCTAAGGAGTGGAGTTTAAATGGAGTTTATATTCTATAATTTCTATTGTTGTTTTTTGATCTTTTTATTCTTTTTGGTTGGTAGAACTTATATTCTGATATGCCAGGTATCTTACTCTTTACCTGATTAATCTGAAAAAAGATTTTATAACAGAATTTTTCTCAAACATAGTTTAAATTAATATCGGAGCGATTATAGAATACCCGGCCACTTTTGAATTTTGATAGTGTTTGCTTTTGGGGGATACGGGGATACGCAGTCATTAAAATGACGTAATTATTCGAGTAGTTTAAAAGGAGAATGGGTAACTATTATTTTTCAATGATACGGGGGATACGGGGATACGCAGTCATTAAAATGACGTAATTATTCGAGTAGTAGTTTAAGAGGAGAATTGGTAACTATTATTTTTCAATGATACGGGGATACGGGGATACGCAGTCATTAAAATGACGTAATTATTCGAGTAGTTTAAAAGGAGAATGGGTAACTATTATTTTTCAATGATACGGGGATACGGGGATACGCAGTCATTAAAATGACGTAATTATTCGAGTAGTTTAAGAGGAGAATGGGTAACTATCATTTTTCAATGATACGGGGATACGGGGATACGCAGTCATTAAAATGACGTAATTATTCGAGTAGTTTAAGAGGAGAATGGGTAACTATTATTTTTCAATGATACGGGGATACGGGGATACGCAGTCATTAAAATGACGTAATTATTCGAGTAGTTTAAGAGGAGAATGGGTAACTATTATTTTTCAATGATACGGGGATACGGGGATACGCAGTCATTAAAATGACGTAATTATTTGAGTAGTTTAAAAGGAGAATGGGTAACTATTATTTTTCAATGATACGGGGATACGGGGATACGCAGTCATTAAAATGACGTAATTATTTGAGTAGTTTAAGAGGAGAATGGGTAACTATTATTTTTCAATGATAAGGGGATACGGGGATACGCAGTCATTAAAATGACGTAATTATTCGAGTAGTTTAAGAGGTTTTAAGAGGAGAATGCCGCGGGTAACTACTATTTTTTAATGATACGGGGATACGGGGATACGCAGTCATTAAAATGACGTAATTATTCGAGTAGTTTAAAAGGAGAATGGGTAACTATTATTTTTCAATGATACGGGGATACGCAGTCAAATCGTGCTCATTTGATATGCAAAATTTATACTAATGAGTAATATTTTGTGCGGGGTTTATTGAGAACGAGAAATACAATATATGAGTAAATTTTGTGCGGGGTTTATTATACTAATGAGTAATATTTTGTGCGGGGTTTATTGAGAACGAGAAATACAATATATGAGTAATATTTTGTGCGGGGTTTATTGAGAACGAGAAATACAATATATGAGTAATATTTTTTTGCGGGTTAGGGGTCAAATCGTGCTCATTTGATATGCAAAATTTATAGTAATGAGTAATATTTTGTGCGGGGTTTATTGAGAACGAGAAATACAATATATGAGTAATATTTTGTGCGGGGTTTATTGAGAACGAGAAATACAATATATGAGTAATATTTTGTGCGGGGTTTAGTTGAGAACGTGAGAAATACAATATATGAGTAATATTTTGTGCGGGGTTTATTGAGAACGAGAAATACAATATAATGAGTAATATTTTGTGCGGGGTTTATTGAGAACGAGAAATACAATATATGAGTAATATTTTGTGCGCGGTTTAGTTGAGAACGTGAGGTATACAATATATGAGTAATATTTTGTGCGGTGTTTATTGAGAACGAGAAATACAATATATGAGTAATATTTTGTGCGGGGTTTATTGAGAACGAGAAATACAATATATGAGTAATAATATTTTGTGCGGGGTTTATTGAGACCGAGAACTACAATATATGAGTAATATTTTGTGCGGGGTTTATTGAGAACGAGAAATACAATATATGAGTAATATTTTGTGCGGGGTTTATTGAGAACGAGAAATAAAATATATGAGTAATATTTTGTGCGGGGTTTATTGAGACCGAGAAATAAAATATATGAGTAATATTCTGTGCGGGGTTTATTAAGAACGAGAAATACAATATATTTATAACCCTTTATTATTGATAATATAGATTAATTATTTGATTAACGATTCCCCGTTTATTTTGATACCGAAACATTAGAATAATTACGTAATTTCCTTCACTGCGTATCACCGTATCCCCGTATCATTGAAACTTAATATTTACCCAAACACTCGAATAATTACGTCATTTCATTCACTGCGTATCACCGTATCCCCCCAAAATAAACAGTATCAGAAATGGACGGGTATTCTATAATCTAGCCCCAGTTTTGAAATAACTGTAAAAATTAATGAGCTGCATTCTGAAAATGCCATAGTGTACTGATTTAGAATGCCATATACCCACTTCAGAATGGGTATATATGTACCTACTTCAGAATGCCATATGGCCAAACTTGTTTGTAAAATTGGAATGCTTTCAGCCAAGACTCTCTGGCCAAGACTCAAAACCTCCAAGTTTAATATACAACTGTTACTGGGTTTCCTAATCATCAATTAGTATCAGATTCATATTAGAATAGTTGCATTGATAACTTACATTGTTACTGCCAAATATGCAATTTATATAAATTCAAAATAAATTATGCAATTAATAAATCTTTTTCTTTATATTTTATGATTATACTGTAAATTGTAAAATTTATATACACTTTGTACCCTTTCACAATAAATCAAAACTGATTTAACAAGTATAAATAGTCGTACATATTAGAATGTTCCCCAGAGCTGCGGTTTAACTTCTAAATACCTAAATCCGTATAGGACTTCCGTGACTGTGCTGTGCATATGATTCTCTGCAACTTGCAACATTCCAAACAGCCAGACTATCAAAGCATCCATATTAAAATACTACTGGTATACTAGCCTGCCTATATGAATCGCAATTCTTTAGGAAACACAACAAACTCGTAATCAAACATAAAATTTACACTAAAAGTTTACCTGAATGCTTTCGACCTCCTCCATGACTCGATCGAAGATATCAGTAACGTTGCCAGCCAAATGATCATACAAAATTGGATACACGAGAAGTTGTACTGAAATAAAGACACTAAAAAACAAATTATCACTTTTTATCAGCTGTTCAGCTGTCCTCGTACCCAGAAGCTGTAATCAATTAATTACCTGGACAATTTAAAAAAATAGTAGGAAATATATAAATACAATGCATAAATGAATATTAAATAACGCAAACTACCTGCGGAGTATGGAATTTAGGATGCAGGTTTACAATTTGTTTCATATAACTGACCGAGTTTGTTTACAGAAGGCTTGGGCCGAGACTTTCAACCAGATATTTTTTAAACAATTAGAAATTTGTTAGAAAATTAAATTTTATTTGATACATTTTACTTTTATTTTCACGAATTATGATGTCAGATTGAACTAAAGCTGGAAACTATGTTGAGAAAACAAAGAAGAAAAGTTGATAAAGGTTTATAAAAACATTCGAAGGGAGCATCCGGGATTGAACCGGAGACCTCTCGATCTGCAGTCGAATGCTCTACCACTGAGCTATACTCCCAACGCTGAAAAACTGTTCTAATTTATGATTTATATAGCAAACCTCTGATACCAAACTGACGTCATTACACCGTAGGCTAGGATTTCCATTGGATATATCATGCATGTCATGTTTGTTTCCAAAGTGGCAAAGTCAGGATGTGATCAGCAGGAATTGTTTACATTTTCTGTTCTGTCAAATCGTATTTATGTTCTGTGATCAGAATTCATTTCAAATTATTATATATATATATATATTAAATATCATAAAAGATGGGCAAAAAGAACAGGAGTAATAAAGACGCAAAAGCTAAGAGAAGCAAGCCTGAAGAAGATGCCATAGTTTCCTCCCTTCTTGAAAGTAAAAAAAATTATAATATTAATTTAGTTTTACAAATAAATACTGTTTGTTGATATCACACATATATGCAGTAATCAGGTAAGTGGTATCATAGTGGTGGTATATAAGTGACTTCCATCTGACATCTGTTTGTGAATTGTGATTGTGATATCTTGTTACTGTAAAACTACCAGAAGTCAGGGTCTGGACCTGCCCACATGTCTCCAAATGTACTTCATCCTGCTTTGCAGCCTTGTTGGTAGGAATGTTCGGTAAACCGATATACTGAAAATATTGGTATTGAAACCAATATCGATCGGTTTATTGGCTATGTATGATCATATTGGTATACCGATACCGGAGAATTCTCATATTACTGAACATTCCTACTTGTTGGGATGAAAACTGACTTTCCTGGGCAAACTAGCCCTGAGCGCCAACAACCTGCCCTTTGTGAGTAAAATTGTCTGGCATATTAGACAGTGCAAAATAATAAAGTAGGATGCACTGCAAGCTATTGGATTAACTATAGACACATGTGCAGATGGTCTCATTAACCCATTGAGTGCCAGCACCATCCCCTTGACAAGTAAAATTGTCTGGCAGGGCCGGGTTAACATTCCACGGGGCCTGTGGCATAATATCAGACCAGGGCTCCTTGACCCCCCCCCCCCACCAACCGCCCAACAGCATTTTAGACACCAAATTCAGTAAGATTAAAAAATATTATTTTGTATTTCAAAAAGAAAAAAAGAAACTGAAATTCAACGCAGTTTATACAATTAACATTATTATTATTTACAGGGGGAAAATAGCTAAACATGATAGTGTCCATATAGCCGTCTTCCACAAAATTAAGCAATCATATAGTATTTAGGAGAAGAGAGCTGTGAATATTGAAATTTTCTGACCGCTATGATTTTTTTAGCCTCGTTTTTTGGAGCCCCTTGTCCAAAAAAGAAGCAAAAAAAAATTTTGTGGCCCTGCTTTTGGAGCCTCACGTTTTTTTTTATTTGGGGGCTCTGCTTCTTTGGGGCACTGTGTTGTTTGGATCCCGCGCTGAAACAGGGAAAAGAAAAAAAATGTTTGGAGCCCCGCTCTTTGGGACCTCGATTTTTAATTTGGGCCTGACGTTTTCCAGGGACCTTGGGCCCTTTGGGATCCTGCGTTGACTGAAACACTAGAAAACAGGGAACAAAAAAACGTTTGTGGCCCCTGCTTTTTGGTGACTTGCTTTTTAAATTTAATTTGGGGCCTCACATTTTCTGGGGGATTTGAGCTCTTTGGGGCCCCACACTGGCACACTGTTTGAGCCCCACGCTGAAACAGAGAGCAAACAATTCGGAAAAAATAGAAGAGTAAGCGTGGGGCCCCCAGAAGCACGGGGCCCGCTGCATATGCTGCTTTTGCCATATGGTTAATCCGGCACTGTTGTATGGTTTTAGACAGGAATAAAATATAAAGTACTAGTCTAGATATATAGTAGGGCACATTAGGTAGACTTTCGCAAAGTCCTTTCCAAAGACATCATTTTTATTTTGCACGGTTCCTCTTTGAAAAGGACTTTTCCAGCCTGTTTCCTGTCAAATTCACTGGCTCAGAAATGCATTGAATATCAATTTCCATCAATTTTCAGCCACATGCAGAGTTGATTTCGCCACATGCACTGCATGAATACAGACTCAGGTTGTCTGCACAATACCATAATTGCAACGTTTTTGATGGAATTCATCAGTACTGCATTATTTTAATATCAACCAATGAAGTATAATAATGGCATCTATGTTTCGGCACCAGAACTTGTCAAAGATGTATATTTCACTGATCATGCCATGAATTAGATTGAAAACTGTGTCAGGCAAAACATGTCCACCTCACACCCCACCAGTGGCGAAGCCAGCCCAACTATTTGGTCATACTATGCAAATATTTCTGTGGTCATAGACCATGAAAACAATGAATTTCTAAAGAAATTAATAATGATAATGATTTCATATTTGCATGGCATGACCAAATAGTCGGGCTGCCTTCGCCACTGCACCCCACCCCACTTTTATTCACCCAATAAAGCCAGGGAAAAATTCTGAGGTCGATTTGTGGCAAGTATACACATTAGGATGCAGTGCAACTTACTGGGCTAGGTCTGCAATAGTGAACAGGGCAGGGGCCAGATCTACCTCCTCCACAGCACAGGATAGGAAGTTATACCAGAAGCGTAACTCTAGTCGTTTCCCTTATTGTTTGACGTCCACGAAAATTTTAACTCGCTCACGTCAGGCCACGCCATCCTGGCTAGTACAGCCGGAAGTTTTTATCAGGATTTGGTAGGTACAAAGTGCCGGTTGTACTAGCCAGGATGGCGTGATTGATGACGAATCGCTTGTAAAAACGCGGACAAATATTTGCTCGAGTTACGCTTCTGGTATAACTTCCTATTCTGTGTCCACAGGCTGTAATGAATTTCATAAGGCAGAGTATATGCCGATTTGCAGTGTATGGGGATTATTATTTATTAAAGTAAATGTGGAAACAAATCTGCAAAGAAGGACAAAATTTAATTAAATCTATTTGTGGACAGTTCCTTGTGAAATTCTTCCAAATTTAAGGAGGTGTGAGTGGAGGGGGGGGCAGTTATAATAAATACTTCCCTTCCTGCAAAATTACATATTTATTTGTTTGAAAGAATCAAAATTCAAACATGCAAAAAGTGCACAATTTAACATCTATTTTCTGTAAACTGAATACCTTGTTAAGAAAATACAATTCTTATGCAACAAGACTTTTATCTGGAGTTCACACAAGATTTGTTTAAAAAGTAAGACTTAATTTCTGAATTTCTCTGACATTAATCTATAGCAGACACAGGTAAACCACTGTACACATATTGTTGATTCAATCACATGCAGTCTTAAATCCATCAAAAATAAATTGCAAAAGTTCATTTACATTTGAGGAATATTAACATTTGACATTCTTTGTACCTTCATGTCATGCACTACATTTATTGAAGTGTTTTCAAAGAATCCCTATTCAAGTGAATGATCAGCAAAATTATTGTGGTCAGATTATTTTAACCAATCATACAATATCAGTTGACATTTTTCCTTTACTCAGCATTTTTTTCTTTTACTCAGGGGGGAGTGGGGGTCATGCCCCCTTGCCCCCCCCCAGCTCTGTGGTCACTTTATTTTGATGATGATTGATGTATTTTTTCAGTGCCACAACAGCCTAGCACTGTATCATATTTGAAACAAACTTAGATATACATGCCTATGAGTATGTTCATACTCTGATGTTTCAAGCTGAACTGTTTTGACCATGCATTAGTCCAGTCAAATCACTATAAGTACATGGTCCTGATCAAAGTAATCGCAATATATTTTTTTTTCATTGGTAAAATGTGAGAAAAGGTGTTCTGATTAACATATTAAAAATCCCAAAAAATCCCTTTGGTGGAACATGGTAAAAACTGAGTTTTTCTTACTTCTACCTATAGAAAACCATTGCAGACAAAATGTTGAAATTTTGAAATTATTTTTTTGCGAATATAACATGCATCATTGGAAAGATTAGAAAAAACTAAATATAGATCAATTAAACGGTTACCCTGCTTTTGCCTATCCATCCGAAGTTATACAAGATTTAAAATACCAAAACTTTGTATTTTGTGCAATTAATTTGCGCTATTTTTCCAACTTTTAGCTAGAATAACGACAAACTGGCTTCAAACTTGAATATAACGGTTTACTTGACCTTTATATAGTTTTGTTTAATCTTTCCAATCATGTAGGTTACATTTCCCTAAAAATGATTTCAAAAATTGAACATTTTGTCCACAATGGTTTTCTACAGGTAGAAGTAAGAAAAACTCGATTTTCACCATGTTCCACCAAAGGGATTTTTTGGGATTTTTAATATGTTAGTCAGAACACCTTCTCTCACATTTTACCACTGAAAAAAATTCTATTGCAATTTCTTTTACCTCTGGTCACAGATTGACTGGACTACATGCTCACAATTATCTATGACAGCACCCATTTCCAATTGATAAGCCCTGATGTGGAATTTCTTCAGATTACACTTGGTTTCCATATCATTGTAATGGTAGTCACAAATCTTTCCCTGAAGGGAGTGAAGCCAGTTAGTTACAATGGTTTAGCAATCACACTTTAGTGCCTAGCTTAGGGATCTTTGAATCATACATTTCCTTGGGCCTAAATTTATCGTTGACTGATACATTGTTAAGGAAGGGCTAACCATCCATGCCAAAGTGCATAAGGGGTGCAAATCCCCTCAGAAGTATCAATAATAAAATATCTAATGGAACATTAAATAATTGTCTATTACGTGACTTCAAATATTTGCATGGAAAATCTTCTCCATGGAAAATCATCTCCGACAGTGACTACCATTCTTGAAGCTCCAGGTAGTTGTCGATCCAAAATTTGCTGGGGGAGAATGCTACACGGCGAGTTTGGTTGCGCACATCTTCCCAGCCAATATTCACAACAATGCCAATTTGAGCAGGTCGTAATTGAGAGGCCCTGCTCCAATCGACTTTTTGTTTCTCTGGTACCACTAGGGCTCCCATTGGCCGTCAAGTACAAGTTAATTTAATACACGGCCTCTTCTTGGATGCGATATTAACCACTGCCACTGTTGACGTGTCTAGATTTATTCAA